AAAATGCAGATGTTCAGACTGAAAACATTTTTAGCCTCCAGTTACAGTCCAAAGAAACAAGGTATTGCTCGGTAGTGTAGCTAAAAAAAGACCTTTTACAAGGCATCTTCGTCGCCTTTTTAAAATAAAATGAATAAGCAGCGTGCACAGGCACAAAGGCATTAACAGTTGTCAAGTATCTAAGCCTAAAATCATTAAAATTAGTGCAGGTAGAAATTCATCATTTTTTTTGGTAGAAGAGGTTGACATGTATATTTCTAGTTTGGTTATGGTCCAAAATACATATTACAACGCTTCAGATACTGCAGTGTTAAATATGCCTTTATGGATTACTTTGTTAGCTTGCCTGCTAACAGCACAAACAAAGGTCAACAATGGACACTAATGTCAACAAGCAGGACTATGGTAAAACAAACCAAGATACAGTATGTACTACAGGATTGTAAAAACACTTTCTTTCGTCCTTTTTTTGTCAGGGAATAAAGTAACAGTTGCTGCAGAGAGCCATCAGTGACGTGATCCAGCCTGTTCTTTCAAACAGAGGAAATCAACCTGCACATTAAAAAGGCGGAGGACGTCAGACTTCACCAAACCAGCACCATAAGCACAGAGTGACTCATTTATCAAAACACTTTCCTTCTACACAATTATCCCAAATAAAAGAACTTTGCCAATATTGAATTTCTACCAGACTGATTTTTTTCTTCCCTAATTGGAGTGAGCTCACAGGTCTGAACAGTGAAAAGGTTTCGAGTAACAGCCCACCGCAGTGAAAACCTGCCGGAGCTCAGTGACTGTGTAAGGTCATAAATGGATCCTCTTGTTAGAAAAGCTCCCTGTGGTGGACTGATAACAGAACCGTCGTCCTGTTCTTCTCAGTGTTGGGGGAGACACTGAGAGTGATGTAGACTGGCACTAGGGGTGGGGGGGCATGACCCCCCCCCCCCAACACTGTACATAAGTAATAGGTAATTTTCCATTTTATGACATGTTTGTGTGCTAAACCTAATGGTGCGTTCAAGTTGTACACCAAAGTCAGAATTTCCGAGCTCTGACAACACAGCCCATAAGCTATAAGTACTTAAGCACTTACTTGGGCATTTTGGATAATTGTATGAGTTATTTTTAAGCACATCAAGCACACGTCAATACAAATGAATAATTCTGGCAGGTACTATTATACTTATAGCTACGCCTTCATGACCTCATCTCTTAACCTGTCATCAATGCCAACAAAAAAAAAAAAGAGGCTCAGGATTGCCGTCCTTGACGTTACCTTGACTGACCCTCTGTCAGTCTGACAGGGTCGTGGATTGAGATGCTCAATGAACAAAGACAAAGACATTTCAGGTTCCAAGAACAACGTTACATCAAGGGACTGCTGTTTGTGTTTCATCATTGTTGACAGAGAAATGTCAGATAATAACAAAAACCCTCTCTTTATCTTCTCTGCTTTGATTCACTCTACGAGGATGGAGAGGTTTGTCTCCATGTCACTCAAATTTATCTTTCTCAGTCTGATCATCAAACTTAGTAGTTGTAAATAAAAGTTTTAAGACTCATATTATTTCTGAAAAGACAGTTAAAATATCTACATGCTGGTAAAGAACTTGTCCAACCATGAAAAACATGCCAAAAATGTCTAAAAGCTAAAAGCAAATGTGAACAAATGAACAATAGCTAAAATCTTAACTTGAAACCTACCCACAAATAATCAGTCAAAACATCTGTAACTACTGGGTGTCTGACAAAAAGAGAGGGAGGAAAGGCTTAAATACGGCAGCCAGAGAAGGACAACATTCTCCATGCATCATAGTACAGTATCTGACCCAAAACAACAGGCTGTATTCACAAACACCTGTCCTCAGGAGAGAAGGCAGGGACTTAGATGACAATGGATGGATTCATGTCCTGTCAAACCATGAAATGCCATAAAATAACAGCGTTTCTTACCATCGCTGCTGCCGCGGGCAACCAGGACGTCTGGCGACGGCGTTTGTCGTGATCGTGATCCGAAGGAGTCCAGACTGTCGAAGGAATCCTCGCGGCCGTGGTGTGGAGGAGAGAGAGAGTCGCTACGTTCTGAGTCCCAGCAGTCGATGTAGCCGCTGTCACGGATGCTGCGTTTAGGGCTCTCTGCCTCCTCGACCTCCTAAACATTTATACACACACAGCGGATTAAGAAAAAAAAAATCAAACCCAAAGGTTTGAAAGCATGACCTTACAGTGATCAAAGATGTGTTTTACTTGTCATCCTCTGCCCCGGCCCATCTTTTCTTCCGCCTACATCCCTCTTCATCCCTCTCTCCTCACCTTACTGACCCCCCTCCCTTTATCTGTCTGCAGCTCTAACAAGTCTTGGCAGCTAATGGGATGTGGAAAGGCCTTTCCTGCCCACCAAAAAGATTTCCTGTTGTTGACCTCACTGGTGCGTGCTACACAACTCCGAAAAGGCTTTGTTATTCTCTCAAGTAGGATCAACTGCTGTGTAATTAATGTGATTCATCTCCTGGCTCTGACATTACACCTTGTACCAGTGATGTAATGGAACAATGTCACGAGATTCAGTGGTCGGTTTGGTGGAAGGTGTTAATTCAGATATATGTCCAGTTTAAAAAAATAAAAATAAAAATATGAAGAAGAACAACAGAGCATCACAAATAGCTAAAGGTTAGCAAAGGGGCTAAATATAGATGAAGTAAACAAAGACAAAGCAAAACACCTAAAGGTTTGCTAAATCACAACAGTTAGTATTGGGTCAGAAAAAAAATTACTGTAGCATAAGTATAACAACGCTAAAAGCTATCTGAGATGATGACTTAGCATAGAAAGCCTTCAAAGCCCTGGACATTTAGTATAGTAGCATTAATGGTATTTTGATGTCAAGGAAACTTGGTCTTTGTTTTGGTCAGCTGCAGCCTTTATGTGTATGTGTGTGTGTGTGTGTGTGTGTGTGTGAGTGAGTGTGTGTGAGAGTGGACATCTGGGGAAGTGATTGTGCGGGGTTGGCTGTAATTCCCAAGTTTTAGAACAGCAGAGGGATGTCGCATGGTGGAATAAATTGCACGGGAGTGACATCATAGCCCTGATCTCCACGTGTGTGTTGTTGTGTGTCAGTGTAGGGACCGGTCCATAGGGACTACATTTTTTCTGCTCCTCTGGCTCTGGAGGAGATGGAAGGAGGTCAAAAGGAATAAAAAAGGAGCCTGGAATATTAGGTGTCATCACTGGAGCTTAGATGGAGGCTGTTATTTACAGACTCATACCTTTTTCAATCCAGTCACACAGGGTTTAAAATGTTGAGACTTTCTCAGATTTAATTGTTTGGTAACTGTGATCAATAGTGTAGCTTTAGCAAATTATTCCGATCAAACCTTTCGCATCTGTGACAGCAGGCCCTCGAACTCTTTCAGGTCCAGCGTTGGCCCGTTGTAGGAAGTACAGCTGTTGGCAGCACGACCCAACCAGTAGATAGTGATTAAAACCTGTAGAGACAAAACATTTAAATCAGATTTTGTGAAGACATTTCTACTCACAAAATATTTCAACTCTTCTGATGATTTTAAGGTCAACATATGAGGATATTAAAAGTTAAGCTATTGAATACATACAAATGTAAATTACAGAATATCTAAATGTTAGCCAGAAATGAAAAGAAAATACAAAAAGAAAAAGATAAAAGTAAACTAAAATCAGCACAGGTTAGAGCAACCAAACCAAAAAGAGAAGAGAACCAAAACAATGTGTCAAGCTAAATAAAAAGCTACTGAATATAAATCAAAATGATAAATCAAAAGTTCTTTAATTAATTACACCATTCACTTTAAAGATAATTTAATATAATATAATAAAAATTTAAATAGTAAAAATTAACCCAAAACAATCTTGTTTTTCATCTTTTTTTCATGCTAACTCCATCATCCTGCACAAACATGACAAGACTGGATCATTGTTCTGACCCTGAATGCAGCCACTGACACCTTCACTGCTGATGCCAATCAACCAAAGAGACCAAAGCGATTCATACGTCTGGCCCAGCAATCCTGTAAACTCAGTATCTGAAAAAGTTTGTCTTTCATCTTTTCATGCAGCCTGAATAAAACATAATCGTAAAACGTAGAAACTGCTTGCAGCTACAGTTTGATCACACAGAGCAGCACCTTCTGGCACATGTCGGCCAAGTGCCTGCAGCTATATTTACAGTGTCCATGTCAACCCGGGCTCTGCAGGGATTGCTTTGATAAGAAAGCTCAGCATGGACTAATGTGTTTATTTCAGACTCACTGTCACTGCAAACATCCTCTGTGGCTTAAACACACTTGGACAGAGAGCAAAGCAAAAAGCCAACAGTTTAGAGGAACACCAGGAGATGAAAAGGATTTTTTCAGTTTCATTAAGTATGTTGAGAGCCGTGTTTGCACAGCACAGATGAACAAAGGAACCGACGATGTCTCTTTTTCTAAAAAACAAATTTGATCATTTTTTTATTTGTGTGCTATGACATGCCAGGGACTCAATAACATTTGGCGATTTAGTGAAACCAAACACAAGCTAAAGATTTAACAAAATAAAAGCCAAAAGTTGAAGATGTTATGTATGTCAAATATATTGCAAAAATAGCTAAAGTTAGATTGAAAACTAATGCATATTAGAATGAACTACTCAGCTAAATGTCTTTTTTTTTAAATGTATTAGTAAATTCTTGCAAAATGTTGGCAAAAAAAAAAAAAAACACAATACAAAGGTTGACCAAGGTTAGTCTATAAATAGTTCTGTGTTTCCCAAAAAGATCTTCACACATAGGTCTAAGGATGTCAACAGTACTAAAATAAGTCACATTGTATATTTTTACATTGAATAATTACACTTGTAAATGGCTAGAAATTCAAAAGTCATAGTTAAACAGCTAACAGATGTGTCCTGTTAATGCATCTAGTATAAGAAGGTCAATGTAGAGTACAGTGTCACAGCAATTCTACTGCAACAAACACTACTAAAACAAAAGCACTCTACTATTAAAAACACTACAAACACCAATCTGAACTCACTGTCTGTACAATTCACACTGAGGCAAAGACTCTTGCTTTTTTGCCACCATCACAATGAGGAGATCCGTGCCAGTTCTCTCTAAAAGTGGGTCAGCACCAGACATGTTTCTGTTCTTTACTCTCATGCTGTAAATAATCACTATTGATTCCTAATGTTCAGCTTCAACAGTAATTTAGACACATGACATGACACACAACTTGACATGCATAAACGTATGCAATTATGATGACAAAATTAAAAGACAGCATAATTAGAGTGAAAAAATAGTGTCAATGTGTGGAACTGATTGGACTAAAGTCTGACATTGACGCACAGTGTCACCCTAGCCCTGCCATGTCAATGTCAGCAGCTGGGACTCCAACACATGTGGAAAGACCTGTCAAAGAGGTTCCAGAGGTTGAGTAACAACAATCATGTCTTTGTTTAAAGTTCAAACACACTCCAGTCACAAAAAAGGACCAAAACACATGCAGCATCTTCTCCCTGCCCACTTTACAGCACCTGTCACAGTCTGCAGCCCTGCACCGCTTCATGCAGATACACACTCCACTGACTGCATGGACAAAATAATCAGTCATCTCAGGAAAACACTCACACGCCGTTGTTACGATCCTATCTTTACTAAACACCTTTTTCTACCCCATCAGCAAAAATTCCCACGCTGCAGTTTCTTCACCTCTCAAAAATGTGACGTTCACAGCGAAGTCAGCTGTTACTAATCCTACTATGCCTCAGCCTGAGTCGGCAGGATACATCCACGGCATTAGCAGGAACGGCAGCCGGAGCAGCAGGAGTAGCGACTGGGTGTTGCTTCTTCTGCACGCGATTAATGAAAAAAAGCTGGTGGCTGTGAGTGTGAGTGCTGTGAGTCCCTGTGTGGAGTCAGCTGAAAGAGCTACAGCAGCCTGGGCCAGTTCTGCAGCCTGACACAGAAATGTGTGTGGTGCACAGCAGCAGCAGCAGCAGCATCACTGAGAGAGGAGGCGGAGAGAGAGAGGGAGAGAGAGTGTGTGTGTTTGAGAGGAGATACTGCAGAGGAGGGAGGGCCGGAATGACATGTTTTATTTCTTAAAGAACCATTGTTTCATTCACTAAGTCCTGCATTTAAAACCAGTTCCGTTATTTTAGAAAGAAACTGGACTTCAGCTCATTAAAACAGTTGTTTTTAGGGGACACAGAAGTTCCACAAGGTTCTATATTTGGACCTATATTATTCAGCACCAAGCATAAAAACGTCTCAATATTTAAAGTTAGTCTCTTAAAGAGAGCATTGGGTTAAGGCTGACTAAAATAAACCAAAGATCTCCACTTGCCACATTGCCACAGGCCTAGACCGCTGGAGGGATCTCCCATGTTGTTCTATGCACACCTACTTTTTTTCGAAATACATTTTTACTTGTTTTACTTACAAGTTTTCAAACTTTTTTCTTCCACTTTTAAATTAGTCTGCACATAAAAACAAATAAAACTTCAGTAGCAAAAATCAGTAGAAAAATTAAAAATATCTGGCATTATTATCCAAAGCTATGGAAAATGGCTCCTTGGTGACTGTCAAAGCCAGGCCCCAGAACTACAGACCCAACAGGAAGTCTGGAAGTTTGCCCAGCACTTTAACATCTGCTACTACATGATTCATCAAACGGACTTTGAATCAGACGGTCTCAACCTGAGACGCTGGTAATCAAAACTTAATAACTGAGTTTGAAATAATTACATCTCCTCTCCTCGTATTTGTCATAACACCACTTCCAAGGTGAGTCAGAACACTTCCAAATATCTGTCACTGGAAGTTCTCCAAATGTAAACGATCTGTTGAGGTGATTTGCAAACATAAAAGGTACACTGTGGAGTATCTGCATGTAGTTTCTAGTGTCAGGGAAAGTACAATGTTATGGATTCCTCTTGAATTCCAAAATACCCAGAAGGCCTAACTCCAGCTTTGAACGATAGGATAAAAGAGAAGAGTCTTAATATTTTATTTGAGCAGAGTTGGCTGAATCACTGCAGACGTATTAAATGATATTCTGTCTGTGTTATGCATTAAAGAACTCAGAGATGTCGTTGGAAGAGCAAAAACATCAGAGCAGTAACAGTGAGGACGAGAAAAGATGAAATAAGACACGAAAACCACGGAGGAAAAGAAGCACCGGACCATAATGACAGCTTCCATACAAACATACATTTAGCACAAAAACAAATTAACACACTGTTATCCAGAAGCTTCACTTACATTCTTGAGTTTTCGGCTGCAGTCACTTCCCCTGGAGAAGGAAAAACATGCTTTAATTACAAATGTTTTTATCAAGTTAAGAAATGACACAGTTGCACATGTACATGTTATTTATATGAACGTAGCAAAAATAGAATAAAACAATGTAATTTGTTACAAATCTGTCTCTTCAGAGCTGCCGTCATGCCACAGTATTTACTGAACAGGGACAGCGTCTGACTCAGCTCTGCTCAGAAAGTCCAACCTCAAAGTGATCTGTGGGAAAAGTGCAGGGCAACAAAGCCGCTGCAGTGGCCACTCAATGAAGAGATGTGGAGCGTGTGGTTCACCGCTCTGAGATATAAATGGGAAATGGAGTGAAGAAAAGCCAAACAGTGACCCTGCACGTGAAAACACAACACATGAACATACACTATAAAAAAAGAAGAGAAAAGCAGAAAAGAAATTGAAGGAATACAAGACAGAAAGTGTCTTGTGCAGAAATAGAGTGCAGAAATATGACCACTTACAGTAAAGTTTTTATGAACTATTTATGAACTAAAATTTAGCCAGTTTTTAGTTAACTTTTGTGACTAAGCTAGTCTTTAGCTCCTTTGTTTATCGTCTATATCATTTCCGTTTTGACCGTTTTGTCTTCCATTTCAAGTTATATTTGAAATACTCCTGTTTCATGTTTAAAACCACCTACTGGGTGGTAGGTATGTTTTTGATTAAATAAAAAAAGGAAAAATACAGGCAGGGGGCAGAGTTCTAACATCCATTTCAGTGCCTTATAAACACTACTTAAGAGTCAGTTTCTAAAGTTTCCCATAGTACGTGGAAAAATAAGAAAAACCAAAGCACAGCACCTCTCAAGAATTTTCTCTTTTTGCTGTTTTGGTTTCACTTCGAGTTTGTATAAATGTAAACATGACATGACGCTAACGCCACAGCTGCCTCAGCCTGAGGGCTTGAAAAAATTCCGACTCACTCAACGAACTGGTGAAAACTAAATTGCATTGGTTTTTCCATGTCAGCTGTGACATGAGAAAAGAAAGGAATGTTAAAAAAGTGGAGGAAGAGGAGGAGAGAAGCAGAGAGCAAGTAGCTGGAGGGAACAGTGAACCTCATCCTCCAACACCTCCTCCTCATCATCCACTCTTTGTCGTTGCCTAAGTAAACACCAAGTCAGGTAGATTTTCTTTTGCTTTGAGGATGAACCTGAAGGGCAAACCCTACAGATTCCATGAGATATTACATCATATTTAGGGGCATTTTTTAAAGAACTCAGCAATGTCAGTTTCAAGGCCTCACATGTCTAGAACCCCCCAAAGAAAAACAACATCATGATCAATGTACAGCTTATACATGACTCCATTAAATTAGATAGGAGTGCTAACTAATAGTGACATATATTTATATTTGCAAAGTTAATTGCCAGTCAATTTATAATTTAGACCAGATCAACTGCTTGTTCAGTCTAAATGTTACAATGTGTGAATGTTATTTCAGTATAAAATCCTATCATTTAAATATTAAAAAAATATATATTGTTCTTCTTTTTTAGTTATTCACACTCTACTGAAGATCCACTGCAGCAGGATGTCTGTCAGGCCGTCCCATGTACTCTTCAACAACCTGTCTGTCATCACAAATATCTGTCAAATGCTGTTCCCCACACCTGTTCAGAGGAACACCGAGGAAGGAAAGAACCTGAACTGTTTCCTGTCATGAGTTTAAACAACAGAGAACTTCTGTTTCAGGGTTACATAATACCTGGAAATAACTCTCAGCCTCTTGGCAAATGACAGCATGAGCTGCTACGAGACGACACATATTTTACTGATTCCTGATAATTGAGAAAAATTCGCAAGTAAGTGGACAATGAACTTCTCACACTGTCTTGACAACCACACCTGTCACCAGTTAACTTGTCTACAGAGGAAACACTTAGGATTTTATGTCTTTAATCTCACTTTTTTTTTTTTTGCTTCGTACAACTTGAGAGGCTGCTCCAAGCTGAAAGTTGTTCTATTACTTTTGTTCAAATAAAAAACTATGCTACACACAATTGTAAATGAATGTTCAACTAAATTTCCAATGTTTTTTTTGCTTTTTTATTATTATTTATTACACATTTTGAGACAGTGTTGCAACTTATCCAAAAAAGGGAAAAAATTTAAGGCCTTGATTTTTCTATAATTTTATAGGTTTCTGTGTAGATAGTAGTACACTGATGAGTACTACTGGCTTAATACTACAGTTATGGTTTTAATTCACTGTGATTTTATTTATTTATTTATTTGTTTATATATATACTCTTAGGTGAACAAGGCAGTAGTTGTTGAATGTGCACACAAACTACATAATCAGACACACACACACACACACACACACCCTGCAGGGCTTTCAATCAGCTCATTGTTCTGACAGTCAGTCAGGCAGCCTGGGCTTCAGTCCTGTCATTTCTCAGTCTCTCACGTCTCTAATAGGACCTTCTTACCACAGCCGTGGGGCAAAGATCAGCAGGTATCAGAATAACGTGTCACACACAAGACCACAAGTCTGGATCACACAGTCATCCATACAGCATAGGTACAGATGAAACACCCAGTCCACAGTCTTGGACTGGGTGATTCAGCGCTCCTTGTTGTGTTTGAACACAGACCGGTTGTGTTCAACAGATATGGCTCTGTTTGTCACTGACACAGACTCAGACAAGCTGCCACTGACTCCGGTGGACCTGTTTGTGTTGGCAGTGAACTTGTCGATTGTCTGATGCACAGACTGACAGATGCACAAAGAAACTCAGGACCAGAGACAGAATTGACAATCAGTCCGTGACGCCTCAGTTTGACTGTGTGAAAATATGTACTTATTAAACATTGTACATATTATGTTGAAGTACACTGAGCAGCATTTACCTGACGGTGGGGCGTGTTGAAGTATCCTGTAGGTCTCCTGGATCGAACAGCTGAGAACCTTTTAGTCCCAACTCCTCACAGCCACGAAGAAACACAGTGAGATTGTCCTGCACAGGAAACACACACACACACACACACACACACACAGACTTAATCCTCTGCAAGTTATATTTATATGTTCTGTGAAAAGTACATTTTTAGTTCACAATATATTGGGTGACATTCGTACACCAAAGTACTGCAGGACGATAACTATAACACAGTTGTTGTTCGTAAAAACACATATAAAACAAATAGACACGGCTAGTCAGAAATCCAGGTTAAAATACCTGCTTGGCAGAAATGCGACACCACCAGGTTTTTGTGTCCACCTCAGCCTTGTTCAGTCTTTCGACTTTTTCTCAACTTTCACTTTTTCTTCTTATTTTTCCATCATAGTTTTCCCCCTCAGGTCTTGTTTATCCCTGAAGATTCACCTGCTCCTTCTCAGTCTCCTCCTCCTCCTCCTCTTCTTCTTTTTCTGTCTTTGCTCTTCAGTCTCTGTCCATCAGCCTGACTTCCAACTGCCTCCTCACTTCTCAGCTCTCTGACAAACTCTTTGTTGGCTGCAACCTGACCTGAGTTTCCTCCCTTATTCCCAGGTTCTCTCTCCCTCTTTCACTCTCTCTCCTACTCGCCCTCGCTCTTTATCTCTCTCTCTCTCTGACTTTTTGTTTGTGTCCCTCGACTGTTCTGAGCCAGATTCCCTCACCTCCTCTCCCGCCCCCACCTATTCTGGGTGTCACCGTTTCCTCTCCACCCTGATTGTCCCATGCATGCACAGTATCTTCGCAGAGACCGAAACACCAACACAATACAACACTAATATTCAAATACAGGTGACGCAAAATCAGAACAAAGGCACTTTTAGGTGATTAAGTTAAACATTATTACAATTGAATGTAAATTAAGACACAAATAGTTGAAAAAAATTCTGCATTGATATCATTTTTTTTTTTTGAAGAAACACAAACACTCAAACACACTGTGACCAAGTGTTTCTCACAGTCCTTCACAATTTCTTGCTAAACGCCTCCACAAAACCCACCCTTCAGATTCCTGTGTTTTCAGGACAGCAACATCTCTGCACTTCCGTTCGAGCAGCTCCACCAACCAGGCCATCCATCCATCCACCCACACACACACCCACACACACACACACACAGTGAATATGTGGTCATTTCTTGTTAAAGGACACAGTAATCTCCTGACACTTACACTCCGGGGAGGACACACCTACAGCACAATTAAAACGATCTCGCATGCACACACGTACGCAGGCAAGTGTGCATGCACACTCACAAACACACGCACAGATTGCGCAACGCAAATGACCAAGGTCATGTTTGACTGAATAAAAGGTTTCAGCCCATTTATATGCAAACACAACAGCTGGACTGTTACTCATACCACCAAAAATACTCTTTCACTTTCTGGTCTTCTTACTGTCATATTCAAATATATCAACACTTTAAGTTTAAATTAAAAGGTAAAAACAAAGTTCAGATACGTGTCAGTTCCCTGGTTTTCCAAGTATAAGGAGACAGTCATACGAGACTGTTATTTTGCTTTTTGCAAGCAAACAAAAATACTTGTCATTATTCCATCACAGCTTTGCTTGGTGACATAATGTCTCGGTGTCTGCACAGAGAAGCCGTTACTGCTCACTCAACGCATCTGTTTTGATGCAAAACCTCTGCAGAGAAAGAACTAGAAGCAGAGAGGAGGTAATTACTGATCTGACATCATAATACTGCTTGGAGTAATTCAGATGTGTATTTCAGTGATACATATGAAACGGTTGATTTGTGAATAACACAGTTTCAGCACATCATCACAGGCCAATATTTATGTACATCAAGAACACTGAGCTTTAGATTTAGATTTATTCACTACTTTTATAAGAGTTAACAGAATAACACAAAATATTGTGTGACTGCAGGCGTGTTAGTTTGCCGCAGGAAGCTGGGCGTCTACTCCACAGACATGATTGACAGCTGAATGTGTTTTGAGAAGGATAGTGAGCTAAAGTGGGAGGTTGACATTAACAGAAGGTCGATGTTCAGAAAAATGTAAATAATAAATCAATAAATAAAACAAAACAAAAAAATCATAGAAAATGAATATAGGGCTGAGGAGAGAGAAATAAAATATACAACCAAAAACATGCAACATGTGTAAATGTTGGGGGAAGAGTAAAATATGTAAATAGATATTATAATACAATAACAATCAAATATAGACTACTGCTCACATTCAGGGATTTCCTGTCAAACATTACATTTCATTTTCCTCCCATACATTTTTTAGAATCCTCCCAGCCTTAGTTTAGTCTTAGGCAGAAGAGGTTGGTCATTTTCCGTATGATCAAATCTAAAATGTTTAAACACATCTTAACTAAAGTAGTGATTTTTTTCTACATTTGTGTCAAAAAAACAAAAACAAAACAATAAATAAAAACCACAAATGCCTGCTAACATTAACTTGATGTTTTAAAACACCTTTTTTTTAAATTACTGCCATTCACCGTCCAGGTCTCATTACCAGTGCGTCTGTTCACACACTGTAAAAAATCAGCCAACCAGTGGAACCAGAAGTAGCTCAGCAATGACCGACCTGTTCTTGACAACAAGTCACTCAGCACCACGCGCACAGACTGAGCTGCCAAAGAGCTGAGGTAGCCGCTATAATTACTAAATGTTACAAACTCCACAGAGACTCATTTTCCCATTAGCCCCCAAACAGGAAGAGGAAGGGGGGCCGGGGGGTAAGCTATGTTTTATTATGATGGGTCAGATAACAGCGGTGGCCTTTGTTTATCTGACTCTCACCTCTCGTAGTCAGTGGTCAGTTTTTTCTTCGAATCGACTTTCGACGATTACATAAACGTGGTCTCTACGGGACATTGATTTTACCCTCAATAAGACGGAGTCACCAAATGGTTTGTGTCCACTTGTTGCTATATCTACACTTTATGTTAGTGCGCTTCTCTTTTATACTTCACTTTAATCAGTCCTAAGTGTTTGTGGCAAAGCACATGATGTGAAACGAAACAATGTCTCACAGAAAAAAGACCCTTCTATAAACAGTAATGCTGGGACAGAGCTACGGAGACGTATAATTTGTATAATTTACTTTTTATTTGGTTTTTATAGCATATACTCTCCTGACAAAACTTCTTCGCATCATGAGTAACCTGGTCTTGCGACTAATAAGCAGAGCTAGAATTGTATCTTGGATCTTATCAATAGACTAGTTTATACATCTATTTGTACGGGTGTAGGAACAAAGATAAATAAATAAATAAATAAATTGCTGCTATCAAAAAAATGTTAATATATCGAATCTTTTCTTTTTTAAATATACTATTTTTTAAAAACAGATTATTACAGATTAAGCTTTTGGTCACTTTTACGCTGATGATATAGTTTAGTTCATTATTAAAAGTAGTACATTACTTGAAGTTGAAAATAAGAAAATTATGATAATTTTCACTTAATAAAAGTAAATGTAAAGAATGGACAAAAAAATACATTTTAAAAGAAATGTGGCAGGAACACGCGGCAGGATCAAATCTTTTTGTTTTTACATTCACAACTGGAGGAAGTAGCCTTGCACTCTAGCAGTTCTTGGACGTCGGATCGCTGGACCATCGCTTGTTATTCTAGCTCTGATTGTATTGTTGATAAATGTCAGTTAAGAATGTAGCAGTTCAATTTTCTGCCACTTGTTAAAGTGTTAGAAATGCCCTGCTGGCAGTCGTTAGTGACGCCAGGAGACATTTCAGCTAAAAGACTTCCTTGTCTCTTTGTCACTCTGTGGTCCATTAGCAGCCGCTTCCCTGGCACTTCTATTTTATAAGAACAACATCGTTTTTATGTTCTTCAGAGAATGTCTAATATCTTCGATAAAATTCATTATTAAGATTAATTATTTAATTGATTTTCAAGGCCAAAAATGATATAATTTCTAACAGAATATTGCTCTTATTAAAAAATAATAATAAATGTTAATATACTGAATCTTGTGTTAATTCTTTAAAAAATATACGGCATATTCTTTATCTAAGGATTCAAGTATTTTTAGTTTTTAACATAAATAACATTTACATAACTTTGTTTTTGTTCATAGATTTAAATTAAAAAGTAAAACATCATTAATTTATGTGTTAGTCAAGTAAGTCAAGTGTCATTATTTCTGTATAATTAATTATACTAAAAAATAGTAATTATACTATTCTATTATTTCCAAGTGGATCAACCTTTAACCTTTCGCACCAAGGGCTAACTGTAGGATTTTTGTTTTGTGCTATCAAAATCAGAAATCCTGTGGTGCATCCTGTGAACACGCAGGACCAACGCTCCTCACTTTCACTTTGTCTGTGTTTATAAATCCTACCTAGACCTGAAAGACCACTTCATGGAAACCGTAGGGTCTCAGGGTCACAATGAAAGGGCTCCACTGTGTCCCACTGTACTCCAGTGAAGAGCATCAGTGTTCAGGTCTAATGAAAACCACAAGTTCTCAGTCATGACAGGACGTTTGGAAAAAAACATCACATCTCTAGATTAAAGTATTTGACACGTTTCACCAAGAGAGGAATCATAACAGGGTTGTGAGAAAGGAAATTAAATCAGACCTCAATCATCATCAATATCCCCCCGTCAGTCAGTTTACATTTCAGCTTTTCAAAGACAAAAGTAAGAAATATCACCGTGAAAAATAACAGGACTTTTGTTAACCTTTGGTTCAACTTTCTGCCTTGGAAAGCTTCACAGGTCAAAATGGCCAAATCTCCAGTTACATACTCAGGTATGTGGGAGCCACACAATACAGCCTTTATGATACAACAATGGAACGTGATGAATAAAGGTTGATTCAGGGAAGATGACAAAAAATATTGGAAAATAAGCATGGGAAAGAAGAGGAGGACAAAGAGTGACATATAGAAGTTCAAAGTTCAAGTTCATCAAAGTCTTTTAAACTTCAGTTATAAATGGTAAAACAAGGTCAATGACCTACCAGTCCAGCTATAGGTGTAGGCAGTCTGTTAATTTTCTTCACTAGGCCAGGTTTAATGGAGCTCAGCAACCTAGAATTGGCAGAAAAGACAACAAGATATAAATGGTTATTGCTCAAAATAGCAAGTTAAACCTCATGCCATTTATAAAACCATTTTAATTAAAAAAAAAAGGTGCAACAGATGTCTGTGCAAAGTTCGCAGAAAAAGAAGAAAAAAGAAGCTGGACTTGATTCAGTAGCATCTGGAAGATAATTAAAACCTGGAATAACAGCTGCTACTTTCAACCTTCAGAGACACAAAAGGCTACATTTTCTGCTGGCTAATAGTTAAGTTTTATAAAAAAAAAAAAAAAAAGATTAATGTTCACCTTTTGTTTCCCAATAGTTTCACCTTGAAAAACAGCACAGTTATAATTTATTGATAGAAATGGAAAATAGATATTATTTTACAGAACATTTACTGAGTTTTTTTTATTTCAGCAAACCTTTTTGCCAATTCTGCCAAAATCTGTTATCCGTTTGTCATTTCCTGATAAACATTTCCTGCACATTATCTCAGCATCTCCTGAAGGACGCAGCTGTCAGCACCGCACTAAGAATAAGTGTAGGTGGAGAGAGTTCGCTCCACTGTTGAACACAACAGTAAATTAAAAAATAAAAAACGTTTACGCCGTGAGGTCTTTCACTCTGTGAATCTGTTTGACCTGTGATGATATGGTGTTGCGTTTCCAAGGTGCACACTGCAGCTTCACAAGCTTGATTACCCACAATCCTGTGGGAGTACTTGATGAAAAGCTTGTTCTCTACTCTAATAAAATCTACCTTTTAATAAATAGTCCCTAATTTCCTGTTTAATGATTGGAATGGTGTGCGATAAAAATATGCCAGACTGATTTATTTCATGATAATCATTTGGGTGCACTGTGCAGGAAACACGTTCTGAAGATGCATGACTGATGATGCATGAGGAAACACGTTCTGAAGATGCATGACTTACTGGAATCCCAAGAATGGTGGTCATTTTTTTTTGATAGGGGTAAAAACCATGCAATAAAACGGCAATAAATAAAGATAATAAAGTCCTGTGTTTTCTACTATTTAACTTTTAAACATAAAATATATATGAATTGTGTCTGTTGGTCTTTTTAAAAAAATGCTAAGCTGAAAGCTAGAGCTAAAGCTAGTCTAACAGGTAATAAAACGTGACAATTTGATCAGCTGGATGTTCGGTAGAAATACCTTGTTGCTACATTTATTTAAACCTCCCTAATTAAATAACCGTGAACATATTTCTCAATTCTATTTGCATCGACTAGATTAGTCTATTATGTGGTTTGCAGTACGATACTAAATCCCAGAATGTGGCATAGAAAATAGCTGTAAAAACTACGAACAACGTTACTGCAGCGACAAGTTCAGGTCCTGAAAGCAAACCTGTTTCACTGCTGCTGAGGTTTATTTTTCTGTGAACACTTAATGAGGTGTTGTTTCTGCACGTTAACAAAGTTGTCTTTGTTTTTTTTTTTCCTAAGCATGTTATGAAACTGAACACGCCGTGCTGGAAAGGCCAGTATATAATTGTACTGTTATTAGTGATTACATAATAAATGCACACAGAAACCTATTGAGGACTCACTCAACATATTTGTACACACCATTCCTTTAAACTATGAAGTAACACATGCAGTAAAGTACACTCAATCGCCAGAGATGTATAAAAAGGCCTCTGGATATTGCAGGTATTTGACTAAGAGGTATTTTCTCCATAATTATTCTATATTCTCTTACAAAAACAAGTATGTGCATAAGGGCACATAACAAGGTAAACACCTATAACAAAATAAAGAAAAATCTATCAATAACCCATTGATTCAAATTTAAACATCAGTTGATGTCAGTGCTGATGGGAAACAAAGCTTTTGCTATTTTTACACAAAAGAGTTCTGTGTCTGCTGCAGAATGGCTCCGGTTATAAAGCTTTGGTTTGGAGGTCACTGGGGTCATCTGCTATTGTGCATTTCTGGCATTGCTACTGTGGCAGTACATTAGGGGTAAGAAAGTAAGTAAAAAAAAAAAAAAAAAACTTTACTCCTACTACTAGCACTACTAAAAACTTCTAGGGTAACCCCTGCCCCCAGGAAACTGGACATTCTGGTTCTGACTGTCTGAACCTGTCACTCTATGATCAAGAATGCTCTCAGGTCAGTTTAGCTTCAGATCCCTCCATGAGCATTTATTAAAGTTGTGGTAAATTGTTGCTTTGCTGTTAGCAGTCAAACAAATGTTAAACAAAAGCAGCAAAAAGTGATTTCTTTTAGATTGGAAAGAGCTTCTAAAGAGCCATAAATATACATTTCAGTCTGTACAAAGGCAGCTCGGCAACTTTTAATGCCTCTGTACCTGCACAACATGAGCTGACTTTGACATCAACTATAAGTGTAAAAAAAACATAATTGTAAAAAAATATATATATATATATTAAATTGACAGAAAAACCTTCTGTTTACACTGTTTAAAATCATGATCAGTTTAACCCTGATGGACCGGCTGGTAAAGGGAGCACTGAAGAAAAAGAGAGAGTAGTCAGAACTTACTCGCACAGCAATATGCCGTTCTCCAAACCTCCTCTGAAAACTCTGTCACCAAAACCTCTTCCAGTCACGGCCTACAGATAGAAAAAGAGTGTGAGTTAAACAAAGAACAAAACTTAAAACAGAGGAGATTAAAATGATCAGTTTCTGGTTTCTATAAATTAAGGCTGCAGACAAAAAAAAAAAACACCTTTATCAACACTCTCTCCACGTCTTCACTCACAGTAAATCCTGGCAAGAGTTGGGGGGATGGGGCACAAAGATCTGCCTGCCATACATCAGGTCCCTCTCTGGTTAGCAGTGCTAAACGCTAACAAGCTTGACATAAGCCTCAGTCATCCTGTGCGAATGGCTGTGGCAGGATAATGTGTCATGACAGGAGACTTAGAGCTCAGAAACTTCAGAGGAACACAAGCTGACTGTTTGCATGGATATGCATGACTACGCTGCAGCGACAGCAGGTCGTGTGTGTGAACGATCTGGACAACAGACATGCAGCAAATATGAAACTGGGGTTGTGATGTGAAACCAGAACAGATATTCGTTTTCATATCTGTACACATATCTGACAAAAAGGGGATTTCACTTTCCCCTCTTTTGGTCAAGATAACTATGTAGTCATTTCACAATATTTGTCCAGTCATAGGGAATTAATGGAGTTCATACTGCGTGTGGGTATTTGCTGTTCATATCTCTACAGATTATTCATTTGATGAAATTTCAGAATTTAAATTATGATCTGAAATGTGAATTTGTTTGCCATCTTCAGCTTTCTAAGAGGTACTTTGAAGTGCCGTGTGGAACATATCATCCCGTCTACATCCCTGGAGTCTGCTAAAGAAATACTGTCTCAGACATGATGCTATCACCACCCAGCATAGTACAGCTCAGTACTCAGACTTTACTTCACTTGATGTTAGTCAGAGTCACTTTTCACTTTATTTATTTCACTATATTTATTTATTATTTATTTATCTATTTGATAGCAGCTGTTTACTGACAACTGGCGATGTGTCAACTTTTATCAAATAATATACACTCATGGACCAACAATATTTCAGCATTGTTTTTATATTTCTTGGTAAATATCTGTGTGTGGATTTTGAATTGTACATATTTTAGATCAGATTCAAATTTTGTAACAGTATAAAAATGTCATGTATTTGTTATTAGTTTCTTCAGCAGGTTTGTCAAAGAAATGTATGACTCAGATGCAGCAGCTAACGACACTGAACTGATCTCAAAATGTATTTTTGCTCCTGGCGTCCGCACTTTCATTTCAGAGAGGAACTCATGAGCAACTTTATCCCTTCACGTGCACGAATGAACTCCCCTGGAGCAGGCTTCCTCCAGTGCCTCCTGCTGGAGAATACAAGCTACAGCCAGACTTAGGGAGCAGCTCCATTTATCCACACAAACACTGGCAGATATTTGGACATAACAAACAGGGACCCCTTTGGACTGACTGGTGTTGAAGCCAAAACAATTACAAGATTGAATTTCCCTCAGACTTTTCTTCTTCTTTTTTCACATTTATTTGCACAGCTGCTGATCTTGAGCACTGGGCCAGATGTGGGTTTCTTCTCGTCGGCTTCTTGCCTTGTTGTGGAAAAACGTGGAACTGTTCCAGAAAGAAAAGCAGCTGCTGTATGTCTGCGTGTACTTCATATCTACTTTAGGAGGTGGGATGGGGGCCACGGTGAGGGGGCTTATGGTTAAGGACAGCCAGATATACAGATAAACAGAGAGTGTGACATTTGTTGCCACTGGTTCTGACTGTGGCTGCATGTGTGCCTGGTGTTGACAGGTCAAAATCATGGTTGAAGCTCAGAAGTGAGATACCGCAGAATCTTACGCTCACTAAAAACACATGGTCCACAAAAACCCACACTCTATGATTAAGTTGATCTGAAACACCACACAGTGTTATTTTGGAGTTACACATGGTCGGAGAGCGACAGCCAGGCAGCAAATGTTCAACTTTACTTTGAAAGTTAACGCTGCACACTACAGTCAGCTCCACTGTGCTAGTTTCTAACAAGGCCTTGAGTAGAATCCTAATGTGTCGGCTATGTTTACCGAATTTCAACATCAAATCCATCCATTTTCATCTGCTTAAAAAACAAAACAAAACAGGATTTAAATATCAGTTTAACTACAAGGTCACTGACAAGTCTGTGTGTACAGATAAACGTTCAACCATTGCCTCAAATACTGGCTAAGCAGACAAGACGTGTCGGTATAAAAATATCTCATGATCCAGTGGCCTACATACCAGTACATACCAGTACTATACCAGTAATACCAGACCACACTGTAAGGTCATTTGTGCAGTTGACCTTGATTTGTAGCTAATAATAAAAAAAAAATAATAAAATTATTAAAAAGTTAAGAAAATACATATGAAATGCACCTGCTGTAAATAACAATAAAGTCAAGTTTAATGGACATGATAAAACTGCATTGAAGAAAATGTGTTTATCTAACTTTAAACATATGCTAAATTCCTGACAGTTGAAAAGCAAGAAAAAGAAGAAAATGAACTTTTAAGCTCCATTTGGAACTTTCTTTTCTTTTTGGGCAAATATCTATCAATATTTATTCAGCATGGAATAATGAAACTGAATACTTTGTATGTAGACTATGTGTGTCTAAAACATGTTAAATACATTTGTTTTATTAACAATAATAATAATAACTGTTAGCTGATGATAGAAATGCTAGCTTTCTGCTCATATATTGTTAACCACCCAGTTTTTTTAATACAAAATTTAGTTTATCTTGTTTCTATCATCTCACCTGTCATAGAAATAAAACAGTTTGAAAAATGTTGTTGAAATATGTACAAAACAATTTGGGTTATATTTTATTACAATAACTGGCAAACCACGTCTTGTTATATGTAAAAACAGAAACACTACCGAATCCAACCCATCTCAGAAGTTATGGTTTTTCACAAATAATTTCAAACAAATATTCCACACTCAGGATCATCCAATAAAAACTGTGGCGGTTTAAATCAGACACCAATAATCCCAGGTCTGCAGCCAGGCCGTGTTCCGTGACTTGGTAAGTTAAAATACTACTTAGAGCTTGGCCCTGAGGGGATGTAGGATCAGCCAGTTGAAGAGTTGACAGCTGTTAGCTCAAGAGCTGGCAAACATAAACAGAGACATGTGCTTTCAAACAACAGACTCGCCTTCTCTGTCACATGACTGCGCTCCAGTCGAAACCATGTTGCTTTACAAGATGTTGTCTTGAGAGCAGTGCATAATCCCAAATGAATGCAACGCCATGTGTCCCGGGCCGAGAAAGCACATATTTGTGTCCTCTGGCCCACAGCCAATAATCTCATTCACTCATTCTGTAAGGAGAGCCTAATCTGCAGGTCTGAATAAAAAAACCAAAGGACAACGCGAATGATCTCAGGCAGAAAACAAACAACTGCAGAGTCATGATTAATATTATTTCTCAGTCTCCACAATAAAAGGTTGGATTTTATTCAACAACGCAGAATGAAAATCAACGAGCTGGTGAGAAGTTAACACACAACACACTGACAATGCTACAACATGTTTTTCTCATTACCAAAAAGTCAGGGAATTAGATTTTTTACCACTGGTTAATTTGGACTCTTTATATGGGGAGAAGGCTCTGATAAGTGAAGGTCCCCTCAACAAACAGGTTCTTCTGATGGGTTCAACCAAAGGTCACAAATAGAATCTGCCTGTGATCAATCATTCAGGCCTTTTTTTCTAGATGCCGCTGCTGACGCCATCACTGCAGGGATCCTCTATTGTGACTATGGACTGTTTGCACAGAGCCAGTTGAACTGACATGACAGAGAGGAGGCTTAAGAGCCTGAAAGAGAAAATGGAGGGACAGGATCTGAGCCAATCAGCATCTTATGCTGTGTCACATTATTTATTGGAAGATTTAGCATTATAGCTTAAAAGAGGGGGGTTGTCTTCCACAACACAATAGAGATGATGTCATCTAGTTACCCTTGTCCATGGACTGTAAGAGTTTCTCAAAGTTAGATTTCTGATCTTATTTTAAAAAAGAAATAACTGGGTGTTTGGATTTCATGATTTGATGATGAATTCACAATTTAAAATAATTTTAAAAAGAACAAAAGTGGAAATCCTGGCTACAATTACTGGATCACCGTATACCACACAGTACCTTTAATGTATCAAAAGTGTAATCTGAGACTATTTGAGCAATGTCAAACTCCAGTTTTAGTAATAACACCACATTATTCTTTTCTCCAGCTCCAAGAATTATCAAACTGAATCATAAAAAAAAAAATCTTCCACATTTTCACAATATGAATCTCTTTAAAGGCAAAAAACTCAAGGAAACACGATCCTTGAGGTATTATGGGTAACAAAACAATTTAAATGGCACAAATTATTGCTGATATTCTCAAAGCTACAACAGCCACAGAGCAGACATGGGGACATAATGCATCTGGGCCAATGTAAGCCAGAAAAAAACAAACAAACAAAAAAAAGAGAACAGCATCCCTGTCTTTTTTTCTCTCTGCATAATCTTAGCCGCAATCTTGAGGTTTGTCTCAGTTGGCAGAAGCTTTGAAAGATTTGGGCTAATATGAGATCTTACCGACCCAAACCCTGTACTGAAGAACACCACTAAAGGACCACAATCAGTTGAAGATCTGATTCTAACTTTAGATCTGGAGAGTGTAAAGCAAACCCATATGGATGGGGAAAACACAGAGGAAAGATGGACCAGTCTCCATCTGATCCATAAACTCTACAACTACAATATACTGTATACTGTAGTGCCTTATGCTAAAATGAAACATAAAGTTAAATATACTTTAAGCCAAGCTGAGCTGAATGAAATGGAAGTCCAGAGTGATAGCAAACAACAAAAAGGTTAGGTTATGTAGTAGTAAATTTATTTACTAAATTTAGTAACCCCCTAACAATCCTACTATAAAAAAAAATATTCAGAAGTACATAAATACTACCAGCCAGACAGATATGCCGCCAGGAATTGAACCCCCATCCATCTTTTATAATGACTTTCGACTTCAGCTAATCAT